CACAGTCTAAAAATACAACCAGTAAGTCCTGCTACAACCTAGAGTCATGTGTGTTGCTCAAGTTCGTAGTCACAGCAATAACTGGCTCAGATCTTCCAACTGCTTATTGAATTTCATTTCAAGTACACAGAAGGAATGATAACACAATCCACCATTCTCATTAGGATCATGGTTAAACATGACCATAGGAAAATGGGACACGACTTGCATAAGCAAGTTTGTGGATCCAGCCTTTGAGTGAATTATTGAGTGAAGTCTATCCTTGGCAACAGACTCCAGAATTTTCATCGTCGTCATCTTCGTCATCCTCTTCATCACTTCCCTCAGACAAGACCTGTCCATGGAAAATAAGCATTGTGAATCATTGTTAAATAAATGTAAAAAAAAAAAAAATACACTGCCTTTACACCTTGATATAGAACAGATATTAAAGTATTTAATTCTCTTTTGACACAAATACAGTTTATATATTTTAATAACAAACATAACCTTGTTCTAGGTGGATGGAAATGTGTGTGTGTTGGACAGATCAAAAAAAACTCTAGTCACCTGCTCAGCCCATATCCCTCTTTAATGAACAGAACACATTTTGATAAACAAAATACAAAACAACTGGACACAAGCAAAGCATTTTTAAGCCAAATATGAACTGGGACAAATTTATTAAATGTGTGATTAAAAATAGCTGTTGAAAAATTCAAAGGTGATAATACAGTTTAACAATTCAGATTTCAACAGAAACACTAAAACCTATTGCACATCACTTTTTAAACAATGAATAACTGCTGGTTTGTAACTATAATAACAACAGTTTATCATATGCTTATAATTTTCCCGAAGACAAAAACTTTAAACTCACCATGGTGACGATCTGTTTAGGGTTCAGAGCAGTGCAGCTCTTCAGCTGTTATTTATGTCCTGTTCACACCTACTTAAAGAATGGACAAACAGGCATCAGCCAATCAGATGTCGACACATTATGTTTAGACATTTCCACAAAAACAAAAGTAAAAGGAAAAATTTGCATGTTGTGATGGATATGAGTTTCTGAGTATCACAGTGTTCACAAACAAACGTATAATCCATATTAAACCAAACAAAGCACAAAGCTAGTCTTGTGAACAGTCAGGGAATAATAGTACACTCTAAGAAAAACAGGTACAATGTTGTACCAAAGAAGGTAAACCCTTGTCACTGGGACAGTGGGGCAATACCTGGAACAGAATTGTACCTTAAGACAAAGAAACAATTTTGTACCATTGCAGTTTGTACCTTTAAGGACATGATTTGTACGACGGAAAACCAAAATGTACCTTTGTTTTTTCAAAACCTGCAGATACAATGTTGTACCTTCATCAAATCTGATCCATGAAGGTACCGCTACAATGACAAGACACTTTGTACCTTTTCAGTGTCAAATGTGTTCCTTCAAAAATTATTTAAAGGCATTTTGCTTCATCCAAAATATGTAAATTTATTTTTTGTAAATTTAAAACTTTTGTGTGTGTGTGTGTGTGTGTGTGTGTGTGTGTGTGTGTGTGTGTGTGCAAATGCACCTTTTTCAAAACATAAAACATAATAATAATAATCAAAAGATCACTTTTCACAAAAATGTTACAGAAATACATTCTCCCGATAATTTTACTCAAAATTTATTTCATTTACTTAATTTTAAAATAGAAAGAGAATTATGCAAAAGTATTATAACGAGATTTGCACAATGTTTGATTAGTTTTACAATAGTAAAATGTCTGCATGAACACTTTGCATGTGCAGGACTTTTGCCAGCTCACGTGTATCGTTGAAAGCAAACGCCAATAGATGCGGACATCATTAATAAAACTGTATTTATCTAAAAATGCTTACCAAATGTTTATTAAAAATGCCTTAAGTGTTAAGTTTACAATAGCTATAGATTTGTTTTACCAGTTGTTTTGTATTATAGAATTTAATAATTAATTTTTATGAGTTTCTTTAACAACCCACATAGCAAACGGATTGGCCCAAATTTGGCCTCATGGCACTGCTGGATTGTTGCCGGCACTGGCATGCATAATGTCAGCCAAATATGGACCATGCATGGCAATGATGGCACTGCATGCATGACGCCAAACTTTGGGCCAGTTTTGGATGGGAGATGTGTTGCCCAGATTAGTGTAGTGATTGTTCACATTGTTTAGGTAACATTAGGCTAGGTTGTGGCTCAGTTTTTGGGGTTTCTGGTTAAAGTATAAACTTCTAGCTGAGAATCGGTACCAATAATAAACCTGTTTTGGCCCAGTTCAGAACCAGTTAAGGGTGATGAATTGACTGAGATTCTGGCCAGTTATGGCCCATGTGTGGCCCTTATCTTTAATCCAGTTAGGAGCCACTTCAGGACCGTCATTCTTTATGGTACTTGGGCTGAGGGAAAAGTTATTGTATGGGCCAATGCTGGGCCAGAAAACATGTGGGAGAAAGTGAAGCGCTCTCGCTCAGCACAGTGGAGATTGCTTTAGTTATATCGTTTTGTATTATTTTTAGTTGATTGGGATGCAGTAACACGCAGTCAAACACTTTGCCGAACACATCCACCACTAACAGATCCACCGCTAAAACGATCCATGGTGAATTAGTCTGGTCAGGTTCTATTCATCATTGATTGGGTGAGAGCAGCTCAAGCTTACTGGCTGTGGAAATCAGCGGACATGGCTCATTATACTACAAGAAAACGCCGTTTATAACACGTGTTTTTGTGGGATCAAAATAGTGTTTTAAACTGTGTGCTTTGGCATTCGGAACACGTAAAAAGCAGCACATTTTACTAACACAAAATCACTGCTAAAAACTGCATTTTTAAAGGTTTACACGCGTTATATGTGGTGTTTGTTATCAGCACGGCATGTTTAGCGGTGTTTAATATGGTATTAGTGCCATTAAATGCGGCGTTTTCTTTGTAAACGTGATTGATCAATAGCGTAATTATGACTTCTTTGGCTTGTTATATTACTGAAAGTGCAGCCGAGTTGCAGCAAGAGATTTGCATCTTTAATAAACTATGACAGTTTGCATTTATTGAACAGTAAGAATGATTAATAAAACCACATGAAACAGTCCCCTAAAAGTGATGTCGTGTCCTCAGTTTCGGGCTCAGGCACGTTTTGCACTCACACTACAAGCGTACTGTGCCAAAGCCCAAGTTAACTACGTTCTGGCACACCTCTTTCAAACGGGCCAGAGCACTCACACTTCTCAAACGACTCGTGAAATGCGCCTGGGCATGGTTCGGATAGCATAGTGTGAGTTCGCCCTTACACTGTAAAAAGCTGATGCATTTACATGCAGTTTGTGCAGGGATGTGTAAACGTAACATTCTGTAGTGCATTTAGTAACCTTCCTATATTCGTTCGTCCCTTCCAACCTTTCTTTCTATGTTTGTTCCGTCCTCCTTCATTTATTCGTTTGTTCGTTCCTTGCTTCATTCATTTGTTCCTTCCTTCGTTCAGTCATTCATATTTTTGTTCCTTCATTAGGTCCTTTGTTCATTAATTCGCTTTTCCTTCCTTCCTTAGTTTTTTTCAGTCCTTCCTTGAATCCTTCCTTCATACATTTCGTCCTTCCTTTGTTCCTCCCTTTATTCGTTCATTCATATTTTTGTTCCTTCCTTCAGTAGGTCCTTCGTTCTTTCTTTCGTTCGTTCGTTCGTTTGTTCGTTAGGTAATGACGCAAGTTAGGGTAATTAGGCAAGCCATTGTATAATGAATTGTTCTTTAGACAATCAAAAAACAAATATTGCTTAAGGGGGCTAATGATTAGAAACTGCTTTCATTCTAGCCGAAATAAAACAAGACTTTCTCCAGAAGAATAAATATTATAGGAAGTACTGTGAAAAAAAGAGAAATTCAAAAGAGGGTGAGTATTTATTTATTTTTACTTCAACTGTATTAGTGTTGTATTGTATAATGCAACCAAATATGACCCTGGACTACAAGTATTGAGTTTTTAAAATTGAGATTTATAAATCACATGAAACATGAATAAACAAGCTTTATTTGATTGATATACAATTATTTGAAAATAGAGTCTGGGGGATCAAAAAAAATCTGAGAAAAATCATTGATTTAGAAGTTTTGTCTTTTTAGAAATGCATACCATTAATCAAGTTTTGTTATATTTACAGTAGGAAAATGTACAAAATACATTCATGAAGCTAGATATTTCCTTTTTTTATATTTAGTCAGTTTAGTGGCTAATTCGTATGAATTTATACACTGTAAAACGTTTCACATTCTCTTTAAAAAACGTTTTTTGGGGTGCAGAAAAAAAAGTAAATAACAGTGGTTAAATTACAGATATTTACCATAGAATAACTTCTAAACAGAAATTTCCTTAAATTAAAATTTCTGGTGAATTTTTGTAATTTAATGTCTGTTATTTTACAATAAATTTCCGTCATTTATCAGCCGTTATTTTACGTATTTTCCGGCACCCCAGCTGCTAAAAAAAGGAAAATTACAGATTTTTTTACAATGTTGGTTAAACATACAAACTCAAGTTCATCAGCTGCTTTGAAAATGTGAGTCAACTCAACTTAAGAGATTCAACTCAAGTTGAGTTGATTTACATTTTCAAGGCAGCTGGTGAACTTGAGTTTGTAAGTTTAATCAGTGTGAAACATTTTACTGTATACAAGTTCAGGCATACAAAAATGTACGGTCTTTAAAAGGAGGCATAGCACCAAACCCCACCTCTAAATCATACTAAAATGTACAAAAGAGATTGCACAAATTCATAAGAATTAGTCACTAAATCAAAAAGTTAGAAACTGTTGTGAAATAGCGTTGAATAGTCTAATGATTTTAATGATCCAACCATTCAAATTTTCTGCATAAAAATAATCAATCATCTCTCACAATGTAGTTTTGACATTTGCCAAAAATATACCCACATGCAACAAATGACCCTGCAGTGGCTTATAAAGTAGTGTAATCAACCAAAAAATAACACAACACAACATCAGATTCTGTTTCAGTTCATGATCTTTATTTCTTTTTCTTTAAACATTTATGGGGCTGAGTTGCCTCAGCTGGGCCCCAGACCAACTGAAACCAAGCAATGCAGAAACAAAAGTTTTCACTTTTTGCATTACGTGCATTGACATTAACTGCTTCATAGCATTGGACTTTGCTTCTATAGCTTGTGACTTTGCTTTTATAGCTTTGGAGGGTCTTTTATAGACTTGAGGGTCGATGTAGGATGTTATCCTGACATCCTGCCTCTGCACATCTGGACAACACAAAACAAAGAGGCACTCTAGCAAATGCTGAGTTTCCTCTCTGAACGGCGCTGGGCCAGATGACCTTGCCCTTGGCAGCAAGGATTTACACGACCTCCACCTCCTTCATGATGCTAGAACAAACAACAAAAACAAACAGCAATATGTTCAATATGAAGATTGAGAATATTTAAACAATCTATCAACAATAACTATCATATCTACACCAGCGGGTATTAATATGCAGGTCCCAATAAACAGTACTGTAAAATCTGTTAATTAACAGTTTCTGTATTTTGGGTTTTGGGTTTAGTTACAGTTGTGAATTACATTGTGGGCTGTTGATCTCTGCTCTGTTGACTTTTGATGTTGAAAATTCAACTCTACAATTGAACAAAGTGACTTTTATTGACATTTTAGCAATTTGAGATAAGATATATTATAAAAATGAATATAGAGAGAACTAAGTTTGTAAAATAACAGAAAATGTAGCTTATTACCAGGTGTTTGCAGCATAATATACAACACCGATCCAGAAAATATACAGTGCTGAGCATAATTGCGTACTCCTCATTTTGAAAATGAATATTTGTATCCATTTTTCAGTGAATATAGGCAATGTATTTTGGTGCATTTAAACAAAACAGATTTATTAAACAGATATCTTTATTAAAATAATATTTTACACACCAAAGATATTTAGAAATGAAAAGATAATACAATTAAATTCAAGCTTAATATTGCAAAAACAATATATAACCTACAAAATTTCAACTAAATTAAATTCCTCTTTTTTTAAATTTGTGTTTAATATTTTTCTATAACATATACATTTTGCTGTAATCATTTATGGGCCGTTATCGTAAGTTATTTTGTTAGATAAGCTCCAGATTTGGCTTCAGTACTGACTAATCTAATGTATATGGCCAATTACAGTATTGTATATAATAAAAATATTAATTTTACAGATTTGTGAGGGGTGTACTGACATATCCTGAGCACTGTAGTACTTCAAACTATTAAAAATGTTCATAAAAGTCACTTTTATTGTTGGAAAAAAGATCAAAGTCCCATAATGCAATTCAAAAGCAGAAATAAGTGAAGAAAAAAAACATGAATCACAAAAAACTGTCAATTTACAGATATGTTTTACAGTGTACATCATATGTATATGGCTATATAATGCACAACAATAACATTTATAGTTTGGAGAAGAATGTAAAGCAGGGTAAAATCAGGATTTTATCATTAACCAGATGGATAACAATAAATCTTGTTATACAGCATTTCTGGTGTGGATTGCTATTCTTTTAGAATTACAATTATTGTTAAAACTAGAACTTAGGGCTGGGCCGATAAACAATATTATAGCGAATCGCAACAAAATTTATGTCAATAACAATGAACTCTAGACTTTTTTACTCTATATTGATCTAACAGCCAATCACACAGCAGACATTTGCAACAATGGGAATCTAAAAGTGTGTTGATATTAGAGATGTACCAAATTTTAGGCCTTTCGCTTACTAAAAACAGTTTATGCTATTTAATGGACCCTCTAATTTTTGTGGCTTCAGTCATTGTTGGGGTACTCTTTTAAATCTGGAAGCATTAACCACTTATGTCGAAATATATCGTTATCATTCAATATGGAAAATAATTAATCGAGATTGCATTTTTGACATATCGCCCGGCCCTAACTAGAACTTTATTGTTATTATACTTGGTAAGAACAGGCCTTAAAGGGATAGTTCACAAAAAAAAATAATTCTGTCAGCTTTTATTCACCCTGTACTTGTCTTTTTCTTCTTTGAACACAAAAGAAATGGTTACAAGTTTCCAACATTGTTTAAAACACCTACTTTTGTGTTCAATGGAACAAATAAAATCTAAATGGTGTGGAACAATTAAAGGGTAATTAAATGTGTTAATAATTTGTGAAGTATCCCTTTAATGTGTCAGGATCATTAGATTTAACATTTTATGCAAGATACACTGAAAAAAAGATGCAGGGTACACAATTCCTTCATGTTGTCCCAATACAAATCAATTGAGTTTTTTTTGCTAATTTAAGTGGACTGAACGTAAAACATTTCAGTTGTGGCAAAAAAAAATCAAGAATTATGTTGATTCAGCTCATTTTAAATAAGTAGTTTGAAGAAGCAGCAAAAAAATATTTTTGGGTGTATGTCTCAGACAAAAAAAAAAGTCTGCTAAATATAAAAAACTGCTATACTCACATATAAAGGCTACGAGACCATTCAAGTTCCACAGCATATCCCACAGAGGAAATACCATAAACCTGATAAAAGATCATTTGCAGTTTATACACAGACAAAAGCATCAAAACATATTTAGCATTATTAAGCAATTTCATTTGTAATAATAGAAAACACTTCAGGTATTGATTTTCTAGTGATGAGATTTTCTTATCAGCAAACGTACCTTGTTGATCTGGCAGCAGAAGGCTTCAGTCTTGAAAAGGACTGATCAATGTTTGCCTTGATTATTTATACTAGTTCACAGTACCCACGCTTAACTGATCTGTGAACAGACTTGCCCTCATTTCCAGAAGTTTCTCTTTCTCAGTAAGTGCCCATCCCTTTGCAGGAAGTGTTAGTTTTGTTTCTTGATAAATTAAACTGCATTTCAGATTTAAAAAAACACAAACAACTAAAATAGATCTCTCACTCTTACCTTTCATTTGAAAACTTTGTTAAATACTGTAAATATATACATTTGAAAATATAAAAATTTATACAAATATTGTCAATCGGTGCTGGTGGAAATGTGAACTGGGTCAATCATTTCAAAGCTCTCTAAAATAAAAACTAAACCACACACGACTGCAAGTATACGCTGTTAAAAATATTAGTAAACAGTCCTCTGTATTTTGAGATCCTTCCATTTCTCCATTCATTCACGCTTTTGAACTGCATTATGGGACCTTTATTTTTTCCTCCAACAACTTTTGATGTCAAATAAGTTTAAAAAGTGATTTTTATTGCCATTTTTAATAGTTTGAAGTGATAAATTGTCTGTGTTCTTGATGTAAATTTTGCTACAAAAACCTGGATTTAAACAGGTATTAAACTATTCTTTTAAACTACTGAAATGTCATTAAAATTCCCTTTGTTAAACTGTAGAGGTGAATTTTCAACACCAAAAGTCGACAGAGCAGAGATTAAGCTCCTATAATGCAATTCACAACCATGCACAAACATAAAACACCCGCGTATCACAAAATATGGAAACTGTATTGAACTAATAGTGTACATTTACACTCAAAACAAAGGAAACATTTTCTCTTTGCATTTTTGAAAACATTTCATGTCAAATGAAAACGCTGACCAGTCAGTCTTTGTTCACAAAGATCCTCAAAGTAACCTTTAGTATTAAAAGTAATAGTTTAATATGCAACTCTAAAAATGTGGTTTAATTTCTAGAATTATTTAATTTTTGTTTTTATTTTTTCGAATTATAAATTATGTTTAATAAATTATTATAAGTTTAAAACTTAAAAAATAAAGCTATTAAGAAATAATTAATGATGAAAAAAATTCACATAGGCCTAGCCTAACTATAAACTTATTAGAATTCAAATAGAAATAAGAAGCTATCAGATAATGGATAAATACTGACAGTGTTGGGCAAGCTACTTGAAAAATTTAGTGAGCTAAGCTAATAGCTACCTACTCAAAATGTAGCTTAACTACATTAAAAGCTGCCCTCTGGGAATTGTAGTAAGCTAAGCTAAAAGCTACATGGTAAAAGTTGCTAAGCTACATCTAAGCTATTTTTGCAATTTTTCTTTTTAAATGGAAGCAACTTAAATCCAAGTCAATCATATCTTAGTGATCAATAAAACTGTCAATGTAACATATTAGACAGAATTATTCAGTTTAGTTATTTACTGCAATTAATATGCTGTACCAAACAAAAACACATTATAGTATATAACAGCAAAAACAAAAAAACAAAAAATCCAATAAAAATAGAAGTTACACAATTAAAATACTATAGTAATTTATATTAAAGGGAAATATTTTAGAACTAACCATTATATTGTACAGTAGGCTATCTCTCTCTATATATATATATATTCATTAAAGAAGAGTTGTAAATGTATATATATATATATATATATATATATATATATATATATATATATATTTACAACTCTTCTTTAATGAATTACACTACATAGTGTAGTATCTTTAGTAACTATCATGAACTAATAGTAATTAGCATGGTATACTTTAGTCTTTACTACAGTATACTGTATATATTTAACTCCTCTCCCTCAGTCATCGTTCCATCAAGCAAATTTCTCATGTTAGCCTGATAACGTCTAGATCACAGGTGTCAAACTCAGTTCCAAAAGGGCCGCAGCTCTGCACAGTTTAGTTCCAACCCTAATTAAACACACCTGATCAAACTAATTGAGTCCTTCAGGCTTACGGATACGCAGCCAGCCGGAAGTGCGATATGCACATTGATATGCCGCGTATCCAGGGCTCTACATTAACACCCGCCAAATGCGGGTAGATTTTAGACAGACACCTCCACTAGCCACTTTGGCTGGTTGAAGATCATTTTAAATGACAGTTTTCTAAAAAGCAGGGTTCAACAATAAAGATGGCCCAATATTCGTGCAAATGTCATCTTAGAATCGAGAAGCAGCACGACTCGTGCACTCACAATCTTGCTGCTTCCAAAAGCTCCGGATGTTTTTTAAATAAGTCTTTGTAAGAAGCAGCAATTGCCAGTTTCGTTTGAACTTTTTTGACCAGAACAGATTATGAACGTTTTCTGTGTTCACCAGATCATCCTTCCATTATCACACACGGTATGTTTTTCACCTGCTTTTTTTTTGTTTTGTTTTTTTGCTTACGGTTATTTTTGTTAATATGGTTTAATTATCATTTTTTACAACAACATTGCTTTAATCGGAGATTAACTCCCCGTGTATGTGTAGTTAACTGGTGATCTGAGAGACCTTTAGCCAGGCTACTGTGCATAGTTACATGGCAATAATCATTTTTTTAAATGTAATTGTTTTTTAAGAAAGATTTTGTTGAATAAAATGAGCATATACAGCAATATTTTGCATGTTTTGACATATTATTTAACATTTGTGGATAGAAATTAATGTTTTTTTTGTTGTTGTTGTTGTTTTTGGGTGGTGTGGTCAGAGATAAATTTGGTAAAATCCTTAATTTTGAGCCCTGAAAAGTCCTGTGAAATAAAAACGAATTGCAATGCGACCCCATAAAACCACAACCGATTTGCTCATACACATTAAGCAAGTTCATACACAAAAAAAAGTGAAATTATTGAGGTATGTGGATATAACACAAAGTCTAAATCAAGTAATTAGCATGCCAAAGTCAAATTTATGCATATAAAATACATTTTCCCAACAACAAAAATCTGCAAGTGAAAATGATGGAAATTGGAAATCTACTAGCCACAGTGGCTGGTGATAAAAAAAGTTAATGTCAAGCCTTGCGCGTATCCAACGTAGACCAATGTACCGTGTCAGTGCCGTCACTTATTGATCTGCAATCGGTAAATGTAGCTTGTGTGGGCGCTACTTGACTAAAAAAAATAGCTTCACTACTGAAAAGCTATTCGATTTAGAAAGTAGCGACGCATTGCCACACTACTGAGAAATGTAGTTAAGCTAGTAGCATCACTACTTGTAGCGAGGCTACTGCCCAACACTGAATACTGTAATATATAAAACACAGTGACATAGCAATATTTTTAAAAATAATTAATGGGCCATAATATCAAAGAATATTAGTAATTGGATATAAGAAATACACAAAAACACTTCTTTTTTTTCCAAATTATTTATTTAGAGGAAGTTTAACTTGTGGCTCATTAGTAAATGACACATTTAGGCAGACGAATGCACAGTAATCCATCTGCTACATCATGACATTTTGAAGAACATCATTGTATTGTAAAACTAAACAGATCACTCACTAAGGATCCCCTTTCCACATAACCAAGAATATTATGAGTGCTCAATAGGATTTGATTGCCTCTGATGTTGTCACATCTATTGGGCTTCATCTCATCTCTGGCTAGACCTCTTGATCCTTCCATCAGGACCTTTTCCTGTATGAGATCTTGTCTCTATACAGTAAGTTACTTGTGTCGTGTAACTTTCGTTCAACATCACTGCGATAACACCTGTGCGTGAGATTCAACAGTGAGTCATTTAGTGTAATGTTAGTAAAGTCATGAACCAGTGGATTCATCCAACCCATACACAAATCTGATATATGGCTATGCAAATTACATAAATGACATACAAGTTTAGATTTTACAGATATTAAATATGTCATATATGCAACATACGCTTCGAAATATTGCTGTTTTCATTGTTGTTTTATAATTGGAATTACAAATATGGTCAATATATATAGTCTATGATTGTATATATGTTTATATATGGCCACATATCAGATTTCTGTAAGGGAAGTCAGCACAAAATGCAGAATTGATGTGCTTTGTGAACCCAATCCTGGTGAACATGTCACCTCGCTCTGATCATGCTCTCTATGGCTTTGATGTTGTTTTAAATGAGATAAAATAAATAAAATGTAAAAAAAATCAGTAGGCTTTTACCTCTAATCTTGATCCGCTCTTCCAGAAACTTCTGCTAGTTTTATTGGAGAGTTTTTTTTTTTGGACCAAGCAGCCATAGTCATTAAATCTTTACAACAAATACACATAGGCTTTCAAAGGCACTGACCTCCCTGTATATATGAGCAACATGCATCCATTAGTACATCTATAAAAATGCCCATCCAGCCCAGTTCTGTTTGTATTTCAATGGATATTTGACTACTGTAGACCTGTTGCAGGAAAAAAAAAATAACTTGAAGTCATGATTGTGCGCTGCTCGGTGGCACAATGGCGACTTGAGGACGATTGTGATTGCAGAAAAACCTGCACCACATCTTCCAGACTCTGGATCAGCAGCTTCGTCAGAGAATCGCCTCAGGATGACCATCTCGTTCTTCTCATCATGGTTTCTTCAGGGTTGCACAAACAGACGTGAAAGCAGAGCTCTTCTGAAGAAAAGCGATGGTGCTGCTACTGCACAGCGGGTACGTTGCGAGATCCATCGCTGCCATGGAGGAATCAGTCTACGTGTCAACATTGCCATGGACACACATGGCGTGGGAGGTGCTTGTGACGTTCTGTCACAACTCTAGCTGTGTGTTTGCTTTGGCTGCTGGCAGCAAACACATGCCGTTTTTGGATCCAGCGTACTATTGATCTTAATCGACACTGGCCGCTTTAAGGTCTGGAGTAGTTGTCTACCCTTGGCAGCAGACACTTATTCCAGTACCTCTATCATCTTTTTCATCATCGTCATCGTCATCTTCCCCTTCATCAACCTCCGACACGATCTGTTGACAGAGGACAAACACTGTTGGTTAAAGGTAATATTTAGTGAAAAAAAAGTGTCAACAGATTGATTCTGCAAAAGGTTTTCAAAAAGCATCGCTATTCATTTTGAATCAGTTTTAATCTTGTGTTTCGTAGCAGATGGCGCTGTATGCTTTACAAACAGCTGTTCTCTGCTGACCTCCAATTCCTTACCAATGCCACTCAAACCTAAAACAATCATTAATAAAGTTAGGAAAGGTTTAGGTGAGTTACAAGTTCATAGAGAGCTGTGTTTACATTAATCTTGTGACATAAAAGCCTTTATGACTTCAGTCAGTACTTTTTTCAAGGGCATTTGACTGTACTGTTAAAATCTAGCCTAGAGCAGTGGTTCCCAAAGTGTGGGTCGGGACCCCCTGGGGGGGTGGTGAGACAAATACAGGGTTCGCTTGATGATTTCCAAAAGTCAAATAAACTTTATTAAACTATTAGAATTACCATATTTTAACCATAAGAAGATAATATATTCGTTTTTAATGGTAAAAATCAGCATGCAAATAAAAAGCCTTCAGCCCTTAAATTTTTTTTTTTACAAAGGATCGGTGTGTTTATGTTTGATTAACAACACAGCAATAGTGTCAGCTGCAGCAGATTTTTTTAGCCCCAGGTTAAACTTTCTGACACCTCAAACACATTAAAAATAAATACAGGTCACAGCTGAACATTAAGAATGATCTCTGATTCCCGGCCTCCAAAACTAAACCAAGACTAGATTGTGCTGAAAACATTGTATCCACCAATCTCTTTAGTTGAGGTTAATATTAAATTAAAAAATAATAATAAATAAATTACTTTAAAAATGATATGGTTGTTAGACTGTTGTATTTTTTGTGTTGTCAATATGCTAGTGTTTATATAAGCCTATTGTTTTGCGCACAACCTCTGTATAACCACCTGCAAGGAATTTGGGGGTCACGAGTCACTGGCATTGTTATTTTTAGGGGTCGCAGGCTGAAAAGTTTGGCAACCCCTGGCCTAGAGCACCATCTACTGTTAAAAACTAGCCTAGAGTGCGGATTGCAGTTAAAAACTAGCTTACAGTGCCATCTGCTGTTAAAAAACGAGCTTGCATCTGCTTATAAAAACTAGCTTAAAGCACCCTCTGCTGGTAAAAACTAGAGTTACAGCACTATATGCTTCTAAAAACTAGCCTAGAGCGCCATCTGCTGTTAAAAACTAGCTTACAGCGCTATCTGTTTTTAAAAACTAGCATAGAGTGCCATCTGCTGTTAAAAACTAGCTTACAGTGGCATCTGCTGTTTAAAACTAGCCTAGAGCGCCATCTGCTGTTAAAAACTAGCTTACAGCGCTATCTGTTTTTAAAAACTAGCATAGAGTGCCATCTGCTGTTAAAAACTAGCTTACAGCGCTATCTGTTTTTAAAAACCAGCATAGAGTGCCATCTGCTGTTAAAAACTAGCTTACAGCGCTATCTGTTTTTAAAAACTAGCATAGAGTGCCATCTGCTGTTAAAAACTAGCTTACAGTGGCATCTGCGGTTTAAAACTAGCCTAGAGCGCCATCTGCTGTTAAAAACTAGCTTACAGCGCTATCTGTTTTTAAAAACTAGCATAGAGTGCCATCTGCTGTTAAAAACTAGCTTACAGTGGCATCTGCTGTTTAAAACTAGCCTAGAGCGCCATCTGCTGTTAAAAACTAGCTTACAGCGCTATCTGTTTTTAAAAACTAGCATAGAGTGCCATCTGCTGTTAAAAACTTGCTTACAGTGGCATCTGCTGTTTAAAACTAGCTTAGAGTGCCATCTGCTGTTCAAACTAGTTTACAGAGCTATCGGCTGTTAAAAAACTAGATTAACAGCACCATCTGCTGTTAAAAACTATCAAGAGCGCCCTCTGCTGTAAAAACTAGCTTCCAGCTCCATCTGTTGTTAAAAACTAGCCTAAAGCGCCCAATGCTGTTAAAAACTAGAGCTACGTCTCAAATCGCATACTTATGCACTACTCTACGCCATTTTGTAGTATAAATAGTGTAAGTAGTGCATTCACACTGAAAACTCTAGCAATAATAAGTGCACTTTAATTAACCGGATGATGCACTCATACAGCCGGTAAAATGATGTTTGTAATGATGGACACTTCACGCACTCCACGACTGCAGGTTTGCTCACGTAGCGAAAGGGGCGGAGCTAACGGGCGCACATATTGGATTACTTTATTTATTTTGGATTGTGAAAGCAAAATTCTCCAACGAGATTGATTATAGCGCCTCCTGATGGTGAATGCAGTTATACTCATGGCAGGTATTATTTGATAATTTGGTCTTTTATTTCACTGATTTGGCAACCGGCAAATGTCATCAGGGAAACTGTTTGAATTTCCGCTTAGTAAAAAACATTAGTGCTCCATTTGGGACGACACTACATACATATACTATGCTGTTGAGTGTGTAAGTGCATAAGTACATAGTGCATGAGTGCACAGTGTCTAGTGTGCCATTTGAGTCGCAGCTGAGCTTACAGCTCCATCTGCTGTTAAAAACTAGTCTAGAGCGCCGACTGTTGTGAAAAACTTGCTTACAGAGCCACCTGCTCTTAAAAACTAGCCAAGAGCGCCCTCTGCTGTTAAAAACTAGAGTTACAGTGTAATCTGCTTTATGAGGCAATTCAGTTTTGTTGACTCAATTATGAACGTTCCATAAAAAAACTCCATGGCTGGGTCCGAAAGGAAAAAAATTTCTTCAGATTCAGCATTTCAGGGTGGTAATATAAATTCAGCTTCACTATCCTAAATTTCTGCTAGAGTTTTGAAGGCAGCATAGATACTGTATGTCCTTCACTGCCTTCGAAATCCCAAAGTCCTGTGCTTTCCATTTCTGATAAGTATATAATGCAAATAATGTGTCGAGAAACCGCTTGTGTTGTTTTGTGAGTAAATGTAAGTTTTTGATCAACTTTTTTTCATTTTGATGCTATTCTGGTGAGAAGTTTGTATGGTAGCAAGCAAATATTCCTTTAGTTATCTCCAAACCTCTCTCTATTTTGTTGTATCTGATTAAGTTGTTATGCTATCTTAGTTTTATGAGATACCTTTGTGCACAAATGCTGCCTTCAGAGTCAAAGTCAAATTTTATTGCATCAAATGTAAAGAAAAGACCAAATCTTAATTTTAAAGTTTAGCTCTTCAGTTGGCTGTAATTAAGGCTGACACCTAAATATTGCCAAAAACATCTACAGTTACCCCACCTTAATCCTGAGAAAACTGGCACACCCTCTAGATAAACACATTCTCTACAGAGGTGGAGTGAAAACAAAACAATAACCTGCAATCTAGGTTTTAGGTGCCACACAACCCAAAGAATTCATATAAATCTTGAAATTCTGACTTCGATTAAGTTATATTTGCAGCAAAGGACAACTTAAACCTCAAATCATATTTAAATAAGCGATTCAAAAAAACTGTTAGTTTGGAAAAGTCAAAACGGTTAACGATTAAAAGGAATGTTTTTGAAAAATGCTAATTCACCACTAACAGTGTAAAAAAAAGATTGCTGGTCACACATACTTAATGCTAAATTCTATGCAATATGCTTATCTACAATAATAATGAGAACATTTTATCGTATATGCTTATAATTTTATTAAAGAGAATAATACAAAAACTTACCATGCTGATTGTTTGTTTAAGGTTCAGAGCAGTGTGCAGTTCATGCAGAAGAGGTTGCTCAGATGGTATTTATCCTGTTCATACAGAAACTGTTGACACCTCCTCAGAGAACAGACACATGCAGCAGCCAATCAGATGCAAACACTTTAGACATTTTCAAAGAAACGAAACTTAAAGCATTAGTAACTGATTTCAGAGATTCTGTGATACATGACTACAAGCTGTGTTATAAGTCATGCAAAGATATTTTTGATATGAAGAATATGCTGAATTAATGGAAGACTCATGAAGAGCAAAGCATTAATTACTGTTTATTTTAACTCATTCCATAAACAAGATAATAAATAACTATCCCAACATTAACCTTTGACTTTAAGCCATATAATTACCTTAATAAGGTAAAGGAGCAAAACTATATGTTCAATTAATGGATAAAGTCATGTCTGATTGGCTATTAATTAAATGTGCCATCATAATTACATCAACATCTTGTAATAACTAATAGGGAAAATTAATCCGATATTATCCCACAATACACAGGTTGAATCCATATTTAAAATAAAACATTAGCTAATATTTTCAAAAACTATGCCTTTATGCTATGACTTTGTTGAAGCACATGACTGCTAACTGAATAATGTCCTTATTATTGATATGTTTTGAGCATATGACATGATACATTCACACAATGTTAGAGGATTGTAATCAGCCCTTTTATAGCAAGACATAGCTTCTGATCTATATTTTAAATAATAATAATTAGAAATCTATGACATAAATAAACATTTGACCCCCCTTTAACGGTTTATACCATTGTGAATGCATAATCACGCCAATCAATGCTAGGAAAAGATCAATGCTGGCAGATCTAGAACACCGCTAGACATCTGAAGTGTTCACAAAACACGTTTCTTGTAAAATAGGTGTTTATATCTGGATGTAGTCTTAAAAAAGAAAATCAACACATAATTTTTATAGTATTATTTACATTAAACTCTAAAATAGTCACTAAATATCCCTCAAAACACTGAAAACGTATGTATTTTATTAATAAATTAGAAGTATTTTAAATACATTCGTAAATTGATTCATTGAAGCCTGTATTACCAAACTACTACTAAAAAAAGTACTGCTTGTATTGTATCTTCTATAGTCACACTACTTTAATCCTGAGAAACTGGCACACGCTCTTAGATAAACATACAGAGGTGGAACGAAAACAAAACAATAATGTGGACTCTGAGCTGTCACAAGGTGCCACATGCAAACAACGAATTAATATTTAACTTAATTTATACATTTGTTTATCTATATATAGGCAGGGATGGGCAGTATTTATGATACAAGTATTTCAAATATGTATTTTAAATGTATATGTATTTAATTGGGTTGATGAAAATGAGTTAATATTTTATATCAAAACAATTTATTCATTCATTCATTTATTTCCTTGTCGGCTTAGTCCCTTTATTAATACTGGGTCGCCACAGCGGAATGAACCGCCAAGTTATCCAGCAAGTTTTTACGCAGCGGATGCCCTTCCAGCCGCAACCCATCTCTGGGAAATATCCACACACACATTTACACAAACACTCAAGCAATTTAGCCAACCCAATTCACCTGTACCACATGTCTTTGGACTGTGGTGGAAACAATATATTACTGTTTAATAAACTGGAGCGGAGCACCCGGAGGAAATGCATGCGAACGCAGGGAGAACATGCAAACTCGACACAGATACACCAACCAAGCCGAGGCTCGAACCAGCGACCCAGCGACCTTCTTGCTGTGAGGCGCCAGCACTACCTACTGCGCCACTGCTTCGCCCCTCAAAACACTTCAGTGTCTTGTATTTTTAAAATACTGTAAAATACTTGGTCAGAAATCTACATGATGACAGCCTCTGACTGATGCTTTCTCAGTTGTTTGCCAATGTTGAGATCAGAACAGAAAATTAAGCAAGTGGTCAAGGAAGGCTAATATGTAACGGCAGTATAGTGTACAGTTCGGCATCAGCATCTTTGCTTAAGGAATGAGATGGAATAAAGAATCAGTTGTTAAGAACAGGATGAGAAGCTTTAAAAACATTCTCAGTGTCAGCCTCAGGGCTGCAGGTGGAAATGCAGAGGAACACTAACCTAAAGATGGTGTGCTGGTGCTCACTTTGGGGGTAAGCTGAAACTCCTCCAGTTAAATAACAGCTGAAAAAATCTTAGGAGAATGAGTAAAATGCGCAAATAATAGTAGTTTTAGATGGATTTCTGATGTAGATGCCAAGAAAATAAGACAAACAACATAAAAATCAGTCCTACAATGGCGATTCTGGCAAGGCAATGGCGCAGTAGGTAGTGTTGTCGCCTCACAGCAAGAAGGTCACTGGTTCGAATTTCGGCTCAGTTGGCGTTTCTGTGTGGAGTTTGCATGTTCTCCCTGCCTTCGTGTGGGTTTCCTCCGGGTGCTCCGGTTTTCCCCACAGTCCAAAGACATGCGGTACAGGTGAATTGGGTAGGCTAAATTGTCCGTAGTGTATGTGTGTGTGTGGATGTTTTCCAGAGATGGGTTGCGGCTGGAAGGGCATCTGCTGCATAAAAAAAAACTTGCTGGATAAGTTGGCGGTTCATTCCGCTGTGGCGACCCCGCATTAATAAAGGGACTAAGCTGACAAGAAAATGAATGAATGAATGAATGGTGATTCCTACAATACTTCATTGGCTGTTTCAAATGCCAGTAGCTGACCTGCTGGTGCTCTTTATAGTTAATGAAGAGGAAAGATGTTAAAGTGGCACAATGCAGTTTATGAGACAAATATTTAATACTCCTAAACAGTCTGGACTCCTGGCACACGGCATCAGCAGGACGTAAATGAAGTTTATTTGCAAAAACTAATAACTCCCATTTTAGAGAAATCATGTTTTATGTTTTGCAATGAAGACAGCAACTGCAAAAAAAAAAAAAACATGATTTACGGACATGAACAGATTTTAGTAGCTTTCAGAAATCATGTTTTTAAATTGAGAAGATTTCAGTTGCAAAATAATACAAGGTTTATTTTTTTTTTAATGGTTGCTGGTTCGAGTCCCAGCTGGGCCAGTTGGCATTTCTGTGTGGAGTTTGCATGTTCTCCCCGTGTTGGTGTGGGTTTCCTCCGGGTGCTCCAGTCTCCCACACAGTCCAAAGACATGCGCTGGGTAAATTGAACAAACTAAATTGGCTGTAGTGTATGAGTGTGTGTGAATGTGAGAGTGTATAGGTGTTTCCAAGTACTGGTTGGCGGCTGGACGGCATCCGCTGTGTAAAACCTATGCTGGAATAGTTCATTCCACTGGCGACCCCTGACGAATAAGGGACTAAGCCAAAGGAAAATCAATAAATGAATGAATGAATGAATGAAAATAAAAATAACCTCTTAATATATCACCGTTATAAAATATAAGATTGCTAAGAGATGGTTGCAATTTTACTGGCCACATAATGGATGGAAACACAAAAGAAATATAGGACTATTTTCCAACTGAATTTCTGCATTACATGGCTTTTACAGTGATTAAAAAGATCTTCAACACAGGACTTTCTGGATGAAACTTGTATCAAATTTATACTAAAGTGAAAGAGAAACAAAAGTTTATGAATACCTATTCATGTACAGAGGTGAATGAGGTTCATTTTGAATTCTGTATTAACTATTTAGTTGCTTATGCAGCAATTCACTAATAAATGGTTTAGTTCTCCATGAGTCATACAATAACTCTGAATTTGTATGTTACCAATAATACACCCGTAATAAATAAACAAACAGTACCATTTGTAATTGTGTTGCAGAGTTTATTCATTTTTTTTGTTGTCTTTTTGGTAGGTTTGGGTGAAGGGGACAGGGTTTTTACCTCAGCTGGGCCCCAAGCCAGCTGAAACCAAGTATTGCAGAAGCCAAAACGTTTCAATTTTTGACACTGCACATACAATAGGCTTCTCTCTATCTGAATTTAACCATGGTAATCAATTTGAGACTTTACTGCTTCGTTGACTTGAGGGTCCGACAAAAATAATCCGGCTTCACACTAGTTAGGACTCTAATTGTATAAATGCATCCATAATAGTAGATTTAAAATTTCACATACAAGGGTTCGACAAAAAAAAACAACTCAGACTTCATACCAGTTCTGGGCTTTGCGTATCGAGACGTGGTCATAAACAGTAGGCTTTATAGACTTGAGGGTTCGGCAAAAAACGTCAGGCTTCACACCAGTTCTGGGTTCTGCTTGTATAGATGCGATCATAATAGTAGATTTGAGACTTCATAGAGGAGGGTTCGACGGAAAAACATCAGGCTTCACACCAGTTCTGGGCTCTGCGTATCGAGACGTGGTCATAACAGTAGGCTTCATAGACTTGAGGATTCGGCAAAAACGTCAGGCTTCACACCAGTTCTGGGCTCTGTGTATATAGATGCGATCATAATAGTAGACTTGAGACTTTGTAGACTTGATAGACTCTGCGTATATAGATGCGTTCATATTAGTAGACTTGAGACTTCGTAGACTTCACTCTGCGTATATAGATGTGATAATAGTAGAATTGAGACTTCGTAGGTTTATAGACTTAAGAATTCAACAAAAATCATCAGGCTTCACATCGGTCTGACTTCTGCTTATTTAGATGTGATCATGATAGTAGACTTGACTCTTCGTATCTTCCAAGACTTGAAGGTTCAACTTAAACATCATCTTCGCAGCAGTCAGGCCTCTGCGCATCTGGACACCAGCGCAAGACAAAGAGGAACTCATGCAAATGCTGAGGTTCCCCTTTGAATGGCGCTGGGCCAGATGTCCTCGCCCCTGGCAGCAAGGATTTACATGACCACCACGTCCTTCATGATGCTATGGAACAAACAATACAATCATTCAGAAACGGGGAGAGCAAATGGTGTCAAATATCAACTGCATGAAGATTTACAAGCAATATGCATGACTAAAATATGTAAGATTTTAATAAATACATTAGCATCCACATCCACACAAGCAAACAAGATCATTCTGTGAGTGTGAGAATGATCCAGCATTTCCACTGGCTCTATATATATATATATATATATATATATATATATATATATATATATATATATATATATATATATATATATATATATAAAATAGTTCTTTTAAATAGTTTATATTCTTAAACGGATTTTAACATTGTTCTTGTGTGTCATTATTGTTATAGATGTGTTGTGGATTTAGTAACCACTTATGCCAGTGCAAATCCTCTTCGGGCAGTAAAAACTTACTGTCAGGAATTGACAAGCAGGGAAAACTAAAAAAAATAAAATAAAATAAAATAAATTCCTCCGTGTTCCACTTATTAGTTACTGAAATTCAAGAACGTTGTGGGGTTAAACCGAAAATGGAACCCACGTAATTTACCTCAACACATCAGCTTGTTTGTGACCAGTGTTAGGGAGGTTACTTTGGAAATGTAATAGATTACAGATTACAAATTATCCTATTTAAAATGTAATAAGTTACACTACTTTTCGATTACAAAAGTAATGTAACTAATTACTTTTGATTACTTTTAAGTGTTTAATGGACATTTTCAACTAAATCATTTTCAAGCATTTAAACCGAGGTCATGTTCCCCGCGGGATTTAAGCCTGTGGGAGCGCCGCAAATCAAAAGCATCAGAATACAGCTTTAATAAATGAAGGCATCGTGCACATCAAAAACAAGCAAAGCAACAGATTAATATTATTCAACATATCCCAGATTTAAAAAAAAAACATTTTTAGATGTAACCCCATTTGTAATCTTTAACATTTTCACAAGTAACTGTAATTTAATTACACTTTTTTTTTTCTTAGTAGCTGTAACAAATTACAGTTACTTTTATTTTGTAATTAAATTACGTAACGCCATTACATGTAACTAACACTGTTTGTGACCTTAATCGTTTTATTACCTAGCCATTACGTACATGACCATTTGTGTACTTTATATTGCATATCAGCAGAATGAGCTGTAAAACTTTCCACTCACGTTAGCATATCCATACTGTGCTCTATTTAGTAATCTCTATGTTCTCATTATGGGTTTATTGAATTTGAATTATTTGACATAACATTGTTTCTAATAAATTCACTTTTGTTACTCACAATATCTATAAAAAAAAATAAAAAATGAAAATGAAAAAAAACAAAGCTGTATACTCACATGATCATTCAAGGTTTAAAGGTGTCTCCCGTAGAAGAACCACCACAGACCTGTTAAGATGATGCAGTTTCTAGTTTACAAAGTGACAAATCACCAAAATAAAATTTTGCATTATAAAATGATTTAATTTTCATAAACACTTCAAGTACACATGTTTTATCTGCATAACAATCATTAAAATGTCGTACCTTGTTGATCTTGCAGCAGAAGGCTTCAGTCACGAAAAGGACCTATCGATGTTTCCCTCTATTATTTATACTTGTACGCAGCACACCACCACCAGCTGACCTGCAAACAGCCTTGCCCTCATTTCCAGAAGTTTCTCTATCTCAGTAAGTGCCCATCCCTATCCAGGAAGTGTTTGTTATGGTTTCCTGATAAATGAAACAGCTTTTCTGTCTGTTTGTTTTTAAACATAAACAGATCTCACACACTTTTGCTAAGACAGCACAGCTTTCTGACAAATTAATCATTTTGAATTGTTTGACAATATTGTAAATAGTTGCTGGTTGAAATCATTTCAAAGCCATGGTTTAAAAATTCACAGAACATTTAAAATGAGCTGAATCAAATCAATTCTTTTTTGGGGGTGACAACTTATTTTTTTATACTCAATCTACTTAAATTTGTAAAAAAATAAAATTACGTTAACATAATCAATTTGTGTTTGGACAACATAAAGAAATTGTGTGGAACCCAGTATTTTTGTTCAGTGTACAAATAAAAACAGTCCAAAAATGTTCCTCAAAAACCACAAAACAATTATTTAATTCAAGCCAGGCCAGTTGGTGATAAGATTTCATAAAGCTCCATCTGGACACAAACACAGCTCTACACACTCACCGGCCACTTTATTAGGTACACCTTACCAGGTTGGACTTCTTTTGTCTTATGAACTGCCTGAATCCTTCGTGGCATAGATGTAACAAGGTACTGGAAATATTCCTCAGAGATTTTGGTCCATATTGACATGATAGCATCACGCAGTTGCTGCAGATTTGCCGGCTGCACATCCATGATGCAAATCTCTAAGGTGCTCTATTGGCTATCAGCTGGAACCAGTCTGGCCATTCTCCTCTAACCTCTGCCATCAACAAGGCATTTGCGCCCACAGAACTGGCGCTCACTGGATATTTTCTCTTTTACAGACCATTCTCTGTAAACCCTAGAGATGGTTGCGCATGAAAATCCCAGTAGATCTGCAGTTTTAAAATACTCAGATCAGCCCATCTGGCACCAACCATGCCATGTTCTAAGTAAACGACCTTTCTTTCCCATTCTGATGCTTGGTTTGAACAGCAGCAGATCGTCTTGACCATGTCTACATGCATAAATGCATTGAGTTGCTGCCATGTGATTTTCTGATTAGAAATTTGCCTTAACGAGTAGTTGGAAAGGTGTACCTAATAAAGTGGCCGGGGAGTGTAGTTTGCCATTGTTGCTTTGTTTGTCAAATACTTGAAGACTGTAAAAACACATTACCCATTCTTAAATTAAGATAGTCATTAATCATTAACTACACCATCAAACAGGGCCATATTGCACACCTTAAATATATAAATATATATATATACATATATATAAATATATATATATTAAACATAAGAAAATATAATATATTATATTTTTATAGAATGGAAGTCAGTGGGATATTGACTTATTTGGATTCCACATTCAAAGTATATTCCTTAATGCTCGATGCAGAAATACACACAGCTTAAGAAACATCTGAGAATGAAAAAAAAAACATAGCAAAAAATCATTCACTTCAGACATTCACTTCAGTTTCAATGTTTTGCAATTTTTATTGATGATTTTGTTTTTTTGGGAAAAGTTGCACTCAGCCTTTAAAAATAAACAAAAATGAACAGGTTGTTTTACAACAGGTCATCCCCATAACCTGCTAACCAAGCAACAGACAACCAGAAGCCGACCAACGGGAAAAGGGGTTGGGTGTCGGCTTTTGGTAGTTTTTGTTTTTGTCGGTTGCTTCTAGTTTTTCTGGTGCTTCATCAGCGGGTCATGGACCTGGCGCTGTACACTGCAGGTCCACTGAACCCCGGCCAGACATCCAGGGAATGTGCTAGAACAGGGCAGCGGACACGAGTGCCCAAATCCCTTGGCAGATTGGTTCTCCTCATCTCCTCTTTAAAAACTAAACAAGAAAATACTTCATTAATATAAAACCTCAGAAATAATCTATTTACTCGTTATTTAAAGGGAAAACTACTTACAAAATCATAAACGCAAGCATGGGCACGAGGCCAAAGAGATCCTTGGGCAGCGTGAAGTCTCAACTCGAGTGCTGTCATCTGTGGCATCTACATCGAAACAAAGAGACAAATAACATTATTATCATTGATTACTGACAGGCTAAGCTGCATACGCAGTTAAAATCACAACTATGTGCATGTATGATCACGGACGATGAAGAATGTGTTTCTCCTGCCAACCAGGAAGTGTTCAAATGAGCTTTAGTTTAATGCAGACTATAATAAAAACTTTCATTTCTATATTTCTTGTCATTAAACAGAACATTTTCAGTATTTTGTGATTTTTATATATATATATATATATATATATATATATATATATATATATATATATATATATATATATATATAAATGTGTAGAGAATCAATCAAACATGTCACACAACAGGGCTGGAGAGGGACTCCTTTTCAGCCCTGGAGTTTCAAGCCTAGACCGGCCCACCTCAGTTCACGACTGACTTTATTAAAATAACGTCATTTCCAATTCAGTTTCTAATGACACTATCACATATTTTTCAAGGAAAAGGCTGCTTTAGAACTTCAAATGTTTTTCATAAATATAAGAACATTAAAGAGTAGCTAAATCTCCAACACTCTTTAAAACATCACAATGTCCTTTCCTGCAATATCTGAATAACGTTATATACTCTGTGCAAAATTATTTATAGATATCCAGTCTTTTAACGGCGGTCACACAAATTTTTTTTTTTTAAATAAAATATGTACACCTATATAAGTTACCCAAACAGTATTATATGTCTTAAAACAAAAGAAGAACATTCGAAGAGGTTCGTACACAGTTTGGCGGCGTCGTAACGCAAAGTACTGACCACTGGACCACAATGGCGCTGTAATGCTGGGGCGTTTGGAAGCAAACACAAGTTCTGCACTTGTTACATTCTATTGATGGCTTAATCTTTTTCGCCCCTTTTTAAATTTCTGATCAAGTTATGGCAGATTTATTAATGTAGTGAATCATTTGATTTTCATCGAGCAGGTGTAATATTCATTAATATTAATTATTCGAATTCTTAAGGTGCCGCTGTCTGGGGTCGAATGATGGTTACGTCATCAATAACCTGCAGGCTGCAATTTGCTCACGGGGCTGCCAGAAAATAATTAAAAAGAGCGGAGCTGCGGCAAAATAATTAATAAAAAGAGTGAGGCTATGATCAAATAAATACATAAATAAAAAAGTGCGTATTCTGCCCTTCCTCCAGCTTAACGTTAGCCAATCTGGGCCCATCACACAAGCACAGCTTCCTCATTTTATACCCACAGGAAGTGCCATTTTTATAAAAAAAAAAAAAATGTTACTGTAGTAACTTTTAAAAAGTAAAAACAGTCTTGATTACTCACCCGAGTGCACACTAGACCACAGCATACAAGAAGATCATCTCCGCTCCGTCTCAGACAAGAGTCTGCAGGATAGAAAGGACCGATCCCTGCTTCCTCTCGCTTAAATACTCTGCAGAATTTCCTAAAAAAAACTCCTCCTCCTCATCATCACTCTGGGTTTCTTAGCACAGCGTAAACTACGGATGGTAGTGACTTCATTTAAAGGGATATAGTTCACTTAAATAACATAAAATTAATTCTATTAATAAGCTTACCCTCATTCCATCCAGATACAGCTTATTTTCAGAAATGTGACTTTTGTGTCTCACAATTTTAGCTTACAAGCTCACTATTGCTTGTTTATCATTGAGTTTATATATCATTCTGAGATAAAAAATAAAAAAATACATCAAATTGTTTAAAATCTAAATTCTGAGAACAAGTTAGTTTCACAGTTCAGAATTCTTTCTCACAGAAATCTGTTTTTATCTCCTACTTCTGCCTTTTCCCCCATTCAATCTGTCTGTTTATGTCCTAGAAATGCCTTCTTACATTTCACTTTAGGCAGATTGCATTGCAAACGACTGATGCCAGCTGTAATTTACACTTGATCTCCCTCTCAGATGTGGATGTGTTCTGGAATCACATCCACACCCAAATCAAATCATGACTAATAAGAGAGAAATGCACACACTATGAGAGTTCCTGAGGTAACAAGGTTTATAAACTGTGGGTAAGTTATGCTTGTAAATTTTGCCAGTAATACTGTAAAAATCGCTAGTTATACTATCAAATTTACACGCGCACTAAATTAATGAATGTAATTATGTAAAACTACAGCACAATTGTAATTGTTGTTTTTTTTTTCTTTGTTTTTTGTTCACTTAAACATTGTGTTTTTAAGGAGCATGGTTATCAGCAATGGTAATAACAGAATTCTTACACATTAACTGATGACGGTATGAAACAAATGAAAGAAATCCAAATAATATATATATATATGCAAACATATACAGAAACCTGTCAGTACAAAAGCATGAAAGGGGAAAAAAAGATATACAAAATGTCAGAGAAAAAAGTAAATCACATAGCTCACCATCACACAACTCCAATCTGTTCATCAAGTTTGCAGATGACATGACTGTTGTCATCAACAAAAGCGATGAGAAAAACTACAGAAGCGAGGTGAACCGTCTAGCCGAGTGGTGCAGAGACAAGTCTCTTTTTGAATGTGGAGAAGACGAAGGAGATTGTTGTTGACTTCAGGAAAGTGCACACTCTGCATGCTCCCCTGACCATCAACGGTGAATCTGTAGAGCAGATTAGCTGCTCACTAGATTTGAGGTCAAACACTGTACGACTCCAATGCATTGATATTGAACAAAAACATGGTAAAGCCACACAACGCAATACTAGGAACTGTTACAACAAATATTCTTTTTATTATAACAGTTCAACTCCCTCTGATTTATAAACGTTTCGATTGCTGTTGTTTAGTTTGAGATGACTGAAGTAGTTAATTCTAGGTGCCATCTGCTGGATAGATGCATTAATGCAATTTAAATTAAAAACAACTTGAGAAATTCAGGCATTTTAAAGTCATTGAAAAATATATAAAGGTAAACGTGACACCTGAATTTAAATGGAGTTCATTGGGGAAAGAAAATGCCAATATTACTTAATCTCCAATTACAAGCACATGATGCCATACTTGCCCTGTTTACTATTGCACTGTAAAATGCTGGGTTCCACACAATCGATTTGTGTTGGGACAACATGAAGGAATTAAGTTCACTTAGTTTAGTAACTTAGTTTACAAATTAAAGTGCATTAAACAAAAAAACTGTTGTGTTGTTTTCAGCTCATTTAAACATGACAAATTATCCTTTGTAAACATTTATTAATCACTCCTATATCAGTAAATTTGTGCAATTCTATTTATTTCATCAGCATAGATCAGAGGTGCCCAAATTAGGGCCCGTGGGGCAAAGCTGGCCACTGAAAACCTTTAATTTGGCCCGTCATCCCATCTGAAAACAGAGGGAGAAATTTTGGGCACTACAAAAAATACATCCGAGTTAGCGAGATCACAAACCTCAGTTTACGATGGGGCATGGCCAGAGGCGCTGTAATGTTATAACAAAGGCTTTCTGGTTGTGTGGAGCTGATCTGCAAATCACAGCTTATTATGTTAGATGACCAATCAGAGCCGGGTCTTCAGAGTAACAAGGAAATATGACAGTTGTGTTTATGTTAGCTGAGTATATAATCAAAGTAAGATATATAAAAATAACATGATTTTTTACAAATGAAGCATAAGCAAGCACACATTATTTTGCACTCATAAACACAACCAAGCCTTACAATAACACTTTGGACCACCCCTATAATGTAATAAAGGTTGATATATTTACCTTAGGCCCACGGCTCTCAATGATATTTGGTTTTTGGCCGAAAAAATTTTGGGCACCCGTGGCATAGATAATCTAGTTTGGTTTTGTCCAGCATGTCTGTTAAAAATCAGCAAATGTTTCATGTTAATATTACTTTCAGCAAGGATCTATTAAAAGTTAAGGGTAAAAAAAAACCTTTAATATTATTATTAGATTTTTTTTATTTGTTTACTATTGCACTGTAATAAATGCTGGGTTGCACACAATCGATTTGTGTTGGGATAACATAAAGGAATTAAGTTCACTTATTAGTTTACAAATTTAATTAGATTAAACAGAAATAATTAAGTTGTGTTGCTTTCAGCTCATTTAAAACAGGTAGTTTAAACAGCAAAAGTCATTTTAGAGTGTGATTATACAAAGGCATTTTTTTACACATTTGTAATTTTTACTTTTTTTTTTTTAATGAATTTAAATTTTTACGAGCCTTGCTTTGCGACCATGCAAGCCAATGGCTACCGTTAACAAAAAATCTTCAAAATATCTTTTGTATTCAAAAGAAGGAAAAAAAACTTGCAATAAACTTCTAAAAAAAAAAAAAAACGTGATCAAGTAAACCCTCATTTTTGTGTGAACTATCCGCTTTAGGTCCAAAACAGATTCCACACAAACAGGTCATGATTATCTTTTATTCTAAAACAATATCATACATATAATACACAAACAAATTTATAATGATATTAGGGTAAAATAGATTGTATCTGTTACACATAAGTTTAAGAAAGCAAACCATTTCAACCAGACATGGAATTCATCGATGACGTTAAGTCTGCATTCAGAAGTCACATTCAATCACCAATAATGATAAGCTCAAGAAACTCGCCCGAGCGGAACGTTTTGGACATAAAACACGTCAATTGTAACTTTAAATCATAAATGAAAAGAATTTCATTGCGTCGCCGTGGCTAAAGGACATCCCGTTCCCTTTGACCCCTTCCTACATTAAAACCTGTGTTCTGGGTCACTCAAACATTTGCCACAAACCACAACGGATTGAGAGGGAAGCAAACCTATAAAAAGAAAGTGAACCTTTTCATGCCATTCATGCCATGTGCTGCTGATGTTGGAAACTGAGATCCAGAATGAAGTTAACTCATGCAGATAATGTTTAGAAGGACCACGAGACTCTACAGCGGATAACGCAACGTAACAGACTTTACAACATTGCATATCTAGTAGGATTGATGGAAATGAATGGCTTTGATTCGCCAGTCGACTCCACATGTTGTGAATGAAATATTACTGACCTCCAGTGAGCTTAACGACAATCTCCTTAACACAAATTTCCAGCAAAACAATCCAATAGCAAAACCAATAACTCACTGATCAAACACTCCAGTGTTTCTGGTTTTGCTTGACGCCCTCCTGAAAAACTGAAAATGCAGCAAAATTATTTTTTAAAAAGCTGTTTTTGTCTGAACGAAATAAAATAAAAAAAAACAGATAAACGTGGGCAAAAGAGTGTGTTGTAGAAAAGAGCGCAGAGTTTTTGATGGTTTTTCTCCAGCTTCCCGCTGTGCCACACACACACACACACTTAATTCAATTCTAAGAGGAGTCTCTAGCTTTTCCATTGGTTTATACGCACCATCTAGGACCCTAAAAGGCACACACTAGCGTTTGGAGAGCTCATTTGATAACCAGTCCAGTCCTTCATAGAGTCCAGTGCCCTGTGTTGCGCAGGTTGCTTGAACATACCACTGCAAGAAGCCCAGACAGAAAACATCAGACAAAACGTACAGCTATATATATATACATATATATATATATATATATATATGTGTGTGTGTGTGTGTGTGTGTGTGTTTATATATATATATATATATATATATATATATATATATATTTAATATGTTTCATGAAAATCGTACATACATTTAAATATCTATGTAACAATATCTAACTTATAGTTTGGATGCTATCCAGCATGAATATTTATAAATAGTTTTTAACACCACGTAATAATAATAATTCTTGCACATATAACAACAACAGTCAGAATGATAGATTTATTTCTGGTGAATCATGTGAGATTAACATGTAATGGCTGCTGAAAATACTTATAATCATATAAATTAATATTTTTTAATAGAAAATATTTCAAATGTAATAATAATAACACTAAAATTAATAATTCACAATTCTATTGGTTTCGTTTATTTAATAAATAAGGAAATGCAGCCTTGGTAGATGTAAGAGAAATCTTTCAAAATAAATTAACAATCCCACCATGATTTTTTAAATGTATACAAAGAGGGCGAATTAGGGGTGTGCAATATTATCGTAGTTGTTTTGACAATGTGCAAACTGGCACCATCAAATGTGTTGCTCAATTTGTTCAAAACAATAATGCAAAAGCATTTCAGAACCATTTGTCATATGATTAGCATATTTAAACGTAGTTAGCATGACCCTACAATTAAGGTTATGATTATGAAATAAAAATATATCCCTGTATGTGGTTTTTTGTTATTCTTAAGAAATCACATATCTACAAAAACATAACAAGCAAGAGTGCCATTTTCTCAAATACTTTCTTATACAACAATACAATAAACAAGCAAACATGTTGAGCAAGACTGATTACTTATCAACTGACAGTTTCAATCATGTGCTCGGATCATTTAATAAAACAGGGAATTACTCATGACCTCATGAGGTTTAGTGTCATCACTCTGC